CCCCCCGCCGCCGCCTCCGCTCCCCCCGCGCGCCATTGGCTCCCCGCACGCGCCGGCCCTGCGCGCGCGCGCGCCATTGGCCGCGCCGACACGCGACCGGCGCGAGTGGAGGGCGTGCGGCGGGAGGGGTGGGGCGCGAGGGAGAGGAGGGGCGGGGGGGACCCCGGCGCGTGCCGCTCCTTAAAGGGGGGCGCGGGCCCGGCCGACACCGGAGCCGTCGGGGCGCCACGCGCGAGGCGGGGGCTGCGCGCGGCCCCATGGGCGCGAGGCGATAGAGCCATGAGCCTCCCCTGGGCAGAGCGCGCCCGGGAGCCGCCCGCGCCGCCGGAGCCGCCGCCGCCGGGCTCGGAGCAGAGCGGGTGCGGCGGCTTCGCGCCGGGCTCGTGGCTCGGCGTGTGCTGCGCCGCCCGCCTGCCCGCCGCCGCCTCGCCGCGCTACCTGCTGCCCGGCGAGGACGAGGAGGCGGCGGCGGCCGAGGGCGGCGCGGCGCGGGGCGGCGGGAGCAGCCCCGGCGGGGCGCGGGGCGGCGGGCGGCCGCGGGGCGGCGGCGGTGGCCCCGGGCTGCGGGCGCAGGTGAGCGGCGTGCAGAAGCAGCGGCGGCTGGCGGCCAACGCGCGGGAGCGGCGGCGGATGCACGGGCTGAACCACGCCTTCGACCAGCTGCGCAATGTCATCCCCTCCTTCAACAACGACAAGAAGCTCTCCAAGTACGAGACGCTGCAAATGGCGCAGATCTACATCAGCGCCCTGGCCGAGCTGCTGCACGGCCCCGCCGCCCCTCCCGACGCCCCCGGCAAGGCCGAGCACCGCGGGGCCCCCTTCGAGCCGCCCTGCGCCGCCGCCGGGGCCGGAGCTCCGCCGGGGCAGCCGGCGCCGCCGCCGGGGCCGGCCAGAGCGTCGCCCCCCGGGCACGGCAGGACTCGCTTCCCCCCGCCGCCGGCCGCGGGGGGCTACTCGGTGCAGCTCGACCCGCTGCACTTCTCCTCCTTTGCGGAGAGCGCCCTGATGGGACAGAGAGCCCCTTCCCCCGCCCTCCTCATGCCGCAGCCCGGGCAGCCGCCGCAGGAGAGGAGCAAGACGTCGCCCCGGTCCCACAGGAGCGACGGGGAGTTCTCGCCCCGCTCCCACTACAGCGATTCCGATGAGGCCAGCTAAGGCAGGGGCGTCGTCCCCGGCAGCCCCGCAAGGCCGCCCCTCGAAGCACGGACTCCGCCGTGGGGTGAGCAGCCGGACGCGGCGCCGCCACGGACGGCATCGGCTCCCCTCGGTCGCTTTGAAATCCGCCCCCTCGTCTCCCACCCCCGGCAGCCCCTGGTTTGTCTAGGGGGGATGGCTGTTAGCGAATGACTGTACCTGCCCTGTCTGTCAGGCTCGGTTGGTTTGTTTTCATTTGTAGTTTACACTTCGAAAGTCTCTTTCGCCTAGAAGTCGTTGCCGTTCCCTCCTGCCAACACGCCATCTCGCAGCGCGGAGCCTGGCTCGCCCCGTCGGCGAGCAGGTGATGCGCAGGGAGAAAGCCTGGCCCCGCTGCCGGGGGTGCCGCCGGCGCCATGCATCCCCACCCGGCCGTGAACCTGCCCTGACACCCCCGTCTTCCAGGACACCGATCCCGCCGTGGGTCGCATTGCTGTGGAAACACATACACACGCGTACACACACACACACACACACACACACACACACACACAAGTTAATAACGCACCGTCTTAACATGTAAATAGCGGAAAAAATTTGGATTTTCCTTAGAGCACCATGTCGGCGTCTTTTGGGGGGAAACTTGGCGCAAGCACTTTATCAGCGGCTGGAGATGCAGTTTCAAGAGGAAAGCTACTCACTGCCAATTGGAGACAAATATTTAATTAAGCCACTTAATCCTAACTGCCCTCTTAAAAACGAAAACGGTTTTGTCGTGTCAAACTTTTATGTCAGATTTATTTTCCTTTTGTGGTAATAGGAAACGTATTTATTATGCAGTGTTTGCAATTATTTCTGCTTCTCTCTTTTTAAAAAAAAAAAATCTTTTCTACGACGAAAATCGTTTATTTTGATTTTAGCAACGCCAGCTGCCATTGTTTTATGTATTTTAATTTTAAAATTTTTGAGATCAAATAAACATTAAAAAAAAAGCAAAACAAAACAAAAAAAAACCAAACCAAAACAAAATCAGCCTCAAAGCGTGATGGTGTTGAACTTCTCCCCTCGCCCTCCCCCAGCCGAGGTGATGTCTCTTACCCCGAGGCGGGGGTAAGAGGTGCAGGGCCGGTGGCGACGCTCCGGGAAGCCGATGGGGCGTCCCGTCTGTCTGCAGAGGGACGGGCGGACCCCGGGGCCGGGGCGGGCTCTCCCCCGCCTGGAGCAGCGCTACCTCCACTCCCTGCGCCGCCGGGACCGTGTCCCGTTTCCGTCCCGCAGTTCCCAGCGGAACCGGGGTAATTGCAACAAGTGCAGGGTAAGGAGCTTGTCGCTGCTCTGTAGCGCCTGTCCCCGCACCTCTGCTCGAGTCACATCATTCCCTTCTTCCCCACTCCTCCCCTTTGCGAGCGGATCTCCCCACGGAGCCTCCTCGGTATAAGTCGAGCAGAAAGGGCTGGGAGCGAGCGGGGAAGCCGGCGGGGTTTTAGGAACACGCGAGCAGCGCGGCGGGTCGCCGGGGGATGAGGATGTGGCCCCTGGGCTCGGGTTAAACCCGGACAGGAGTGGGGGATTGGCTGATGCTTAGCCCAGCCTGGCCGTGACACCAGACCCGGGGCTAAACCGGAGCCGTGTCGGTGCCGGGGTCCCGCTGGGTTCGGCAGGTGACGCTGGGAGGGCGGTGTCGGGGAGGGGATCAGTTAACCAGGAGCGGCCGGGGGAGCGGCCACTGTAGGAGCGAAGCCCGTGAGGGTGTCGCTTTCCCCTGCAGAGACGGGGCACCTGCCCCCCCGGTAACCCCGCGCTGTCACCCTGCCCTGCCCGCCGCCAGCATCCGCGGCCGCCGCCCGTACCTGCCGAAGCGGGGTACGGTCCCGCAGGGTGGAAAATATATCGGGAGGCTCATTTCCCTTCCTAATAAAACGCCTTCTTTGTCGGGGTAGGTCAGCTTTGGTTACCGGCACTGATTTCTGTGCTGTGGAAGCCTGTCTCGCATCTTGGGGGACACGCGAGGGGTCCCATCACGGCAATGATGCGGCGGAGCAAAAAAACCACCGACTTTGGGGGTGTTGTTTTGTTTATTTGGTTTAGTCTGGGGATGTACCCGGCGCGGGAGAAGCGGCAGCCGCCGCCGTGGTGAGGGGCAGCGCAGCGGAGGGGCCCCGGCCGTGCCGGCCGTGGGTTAAAGGGGTGCGTGCAGCCTCTCTCCGCCCCGCCGTGCCGGGCTCTGCCCCTGCGGCTGCGAACAAGCGAGCTGGTGGGAAAGAGCGCATCAAAATCCTCCCCGCTCACTCGTTCGGGTCCCTTCCCCCGACAGACGGGCGCACCGCATGGCGCGGCTGGTGCTCGCAGCCGCAGAGCAGCACTCGCCGTCTGAGGGGCTTTTTTTTTTTTATTTTTTATTTTGTTTTATTTAACGCTTCTTTGAAAGAGATACCCAGCCGCATTCCCATTTTAAGGTTCAGCTATAGAGTTTGCATAACAACCGCTTGGCAGCCCCCCTCTCTTGCGCTCCGTTAACAAGCTGTAACGTATAGCTGCAGGTTGCTATAATCTCATTAATATTTTGGAAACTTGAATATTGAGTATTTCAGACCGCTCATTCCCCATATGCCAGGCCACTCCCGCTATGCTGGCTGGTTCTTTTCTCTCCATTATTAGCAATTAGCTCCTACCTTCCAAAGTCAGATCCAAGTATCCAAGATACTAGCAAAGGAATCAACTATGTGTTGCAAGCTAAGCATGCTTAATATCTCCCAAACAAACAAAGAGACAACATTTCTTTAAGTAATGAAGATGGATAAATCGCTTTATTGAGCCTGCGACAGTGTTTGTTTTGTACAGACTACCGCAAAGTTTTTTTAACAAGAGCGGGGACGCGCACCAACCCCTGGAAGCAGTCTCGCCCGGTGTGCTTCGTGGGCTTTTATCATCCTAAACGGGCTTTTATTTGAAAAGGCCGAGTCAGAAGCGCACTATCCGAGCGTTAAATTTTGGCTGAACGCTGACTGTCCTCCGGACTGTGCGAAGCGACCGCGGGGGCCGGGGGGGCTTGGGGAGGCGGTCGCCTTTGTGCGAGGCGCACGGCGGCTCCGCTGACTTCTGAGCCCGGCTCTCCGGGTGAAGCGCGCCCACGGACTCCGGCGCGGGGCTCTGCCCGGCCGTCCCGGCGGCCGCGATTTCGGAGGGACGGAGCGGGGCGAGGCGCGGCGGCCGGGGCGCATCTCTGCCCTGCAGCTCTCCGGCTGCTGTTTGCTCAACCTCTGGCCTCGGGAAGGGAGGAGGAAGGGAAGGGGGAGAAAGGGTTAAACCTAGTGAGGGGAGACCAGAAAAGCGCAGGAACCACGGGGGGGGGGGGGGGGGGCTAGAAGGGGAGTTGGCCGTGGGGCCAGTGTTTCTTAATTAGAGCGGGGCGGACAATGCTTTGGGGCGGACAATGGGGGGGACAGGGGGGCTGGAGGGCGGAGGGGGGGTCTGGCCTCGCTCCCGGCCGCGGTGCGCCGTGTCTGGAGCGGAGCACGCGTTGTCAGCTGGTGAGCGCAGCGGCCTTTCAGGCGTCTCCCCAGGGAGCTGCGCGCCCGCGGTGAGCTCCATCGTCACCTCCTCCCCTCCATCATCATCATCATCGGCCTCCTCCTCCTCGGCGGCCCCCCACCCCAGCCGAGCACAACAGCCAGCATTCAAGCCCCCTTCCCTCCCTCCCCTCGCACAACAGCAGCGCAGTGGCAGCCACGCCACCTCCCAGCAACCAGCAGCACGCGAGGGCACCGCCGGGGCACCTGAAAGAGTCAAAGCCAAAGAAAGGGAGACAAAGGGGGAGAAAAAGATACGCAGGAACGGCCCAGCGTGTCTGCTCCGACAGTGCGGAGAGGCAGGCGCCCACAGAGGGATGGGCGAGCCCACGCGGAGGCCGGCGGGCAGAGGCGCGCACACGCGTGGCCACACGCACACACGTGCACTCGCTCGCAGGGGTCCGAGCCGCTGCAACACCGATGGAGACTCGCAGAAATCCCCCGCTCCGTGCAGGAGCAGAGGGAAGCGACCCGGCAACTTTGCTCCCCACAGCCCCGTCCCCGCGAGGGACATCTCCCGGCTGGTGTTCCTCTGTGTGTCCGACTCCCGCCGCCCCATCTCTGACGCTGCCACCCACGGGCATCGATGCCGGGACGCGGCATCGTGTCTGGTCACCCGCAGTCGCATGTGCCCGTGCCGTGCCTGTCCGGGACAGAAAAATGAGGGGGAAAGTGGCGAGGGATCGGCTTGTGCGTGGGTGAGGCGGGGGCCCCGCCGGCCCCGCGTGGGGAGAGTTCTCTCCGGGGGCAAGCCAGGCTGGAGCGAGGAGCTGCCGGCGCAGCCTGGGGGACAAGGGGACAAGTTTTGACCGCCCCTGGACAAGTCACTGCAACGCGGAAGGGGCTTTGCTCGGGGCTGTGTGTCCGCCGGGCTCCGGGCTCGGGCGCACGACCGGCTGCCCTCCCGGAACTGGGCTGGGGCCTCAGAAAGCCACATGCTGCCCTGTCGCCCTGCCGCCACCCCGTGTTAGCTTAGGCGAACTCTCTAAGGACGTTTTCCAGAGCTGCTGCACCTCCGGGAGTGGATGGGAGCGCGGCTCTGCGGGCTGCGCTGCACCTGTGCGATGGGTGCGCTGCTCATGTGCGGTGCGTGCCCTGCCGCTGCCGCCGCTGGCCATTTCCAGGCTGCCCAGAGCGGGGCAGACAGAAAGGCCTCTTCTGGAGTGCTATCGAATGGCTCGGGATGCCTTCGGGAGCCCAGCCAAGGCGTGTCAAAGGCGGTTTGAGCGGTGAAGCATTTAAACGCTACAATGGGTGACTTTCTGGCGTGTGCTTTTCTCCCTCCCTGCTCGGGCCCAGGAGGAGGGAGCAAGCCTTTTTACTGAGTTCCTCCTGGGGTGGATGCGACACCCCCAGCCCCCAGCCCCGTGTCGCAGCCGGGCTCTTCCCCGCGGGACGCCAGCGGTGGAGCGGCCGCCCCTGCCCTGCCGAGCAGCGGGAAGAGCTCAGGGC